TGGCATTTCTCAAGGTCACTAAAGATCCTTTCAAAGGTCGTCCAAAAATTATTGTCTCGCCAATAGTTAATCAAAAAAAATGAAAGAATTGAATACTGATTAGTAAAAATGAAAATACCCCGCTCATGATTCGTTGACTCTCTATGCTCATATTTCAGTAATGATTGGAATGAATCCACGTGATCCTAAGTAGCGTTTGGCTACAGAATCCAAGTCAAGTATTTTATATTTTAATAGTTGAGATCATGAGTCAATTGAAGTTAGACCAGCATGGAAAACCTGGAAGCACTGGACGGCCATTTCGTCCTATTGTGGGGGTCCTCAACAGAGCACATACACTATCCCGGCCCTCGAGATTCAAACACAAGACCTATCGGTCTACTGAGGAGTCCCACAATAGGACGAAACGGCCGTCCAGTGTTTCCGGGGTTTCCATGGTAGTCTAGCTTCAGTTGACTCATAATGTGAACTATTAAATTACTATAATATCCGCAAAATTCTTTTTCTGATATTTTATCTTTGTTAGAACATATTAGAATGGTGTGTCTACGTCACACAACTGATACCTTCACTAGGATTAAAACATGACAGTCCTCTTAACTTACAGATCACAGTTAGCCATTACTTGATAAAACAAGACTTAATTATATATATATATATATATATATATATATATATATATATATATATATATATATATATAGGAACTTTATGTATTATGTATCATCGACGAACGAGGAAGATCTGATGCAGATGTAAAGGCAAGGATTCGCAAAGCAAGAGCCACATTCCTACAATCGAAGAACATAAGCAACTCAAAACAACTTCCAACTAATATCGAAGTCACAATCTTCAATATGAACGTCAACACAGTCCCACTGTACGGAACTGAAACGTGGAGAACTACTAAAACCATCATCCTGAAGGTAGAAGTATTTATAAATAGTTATCTACGCAAGATACTCAACATCCATTGGCCGGATACCATTAGCAACAGCCTACCGTGGGAGAAGGCAAACCAGCTTCCAGATGAAGAGAAAATTAGGAAAAGACGATGGAAATGGATAGGACATACATTACGCAAATCACCAAACTGCATCATGAGGCAAGCCCTAACTTGTAATCGTGAAGGGAAGCGTAAAAGTGGAATGCCAAATAACATATTACGTCGATAAATAGAATCAGATATGAAGAGGATGAATAACGACTGGAACTTCCTGGAAAGAATTGTTCAGGACAGGGTTGGGTGGCGAATGTTGGTGAGCGGCATATGCTCCTCGACGAGGAGTAACAGGAGTAAGTAAGTATGTAAGTGAGTATGTATGTATGTATGTATTAACAAAGATTAACCAATTTAATTCAATAAAATCCATAAAAAGTAAATAATACATTGTGTTAATACTTACTATCTACTAAATACTTTAATACATCTTAATGATTTTGTTCAGGTTATTAAAAATTTGTTAGCAAAATATGATTTAATTAACTATTCATATGTAATAAACATTTTATATTACATAAATAGGATATACAATTACAAACTCAAAGTTCATTGAAACATCATAATCTAAACTAGAGACTAGATTGAATATGTGATTGTGTGTATGATTTATTTTATTAATTATCTATCTATTTATCTATCTATCTATCTATGTATATACACTTGTATTAATATTAGATACAGTCTTTCACAAGTACAAAATATCTTAGTTTTTTTAAAAAAAGATTCGTATCCCTTTTATACACCTTTTTTTCATATTTAGACTCCTATTCAATATGGCGTGATCTAGTTTTCATGTGTTTATTAACACTACAAAAATCTAATTATATATATAGTGATTGTAGAATGTACAGGGATTTAAAAGTATGATTAAATTGATACAAAACCTGAAGAGTATGCTATGAAATATGAAACGAGTTATGACATAAACTAGATCTTTTTAAATGATTATAAGCAAGTAGAAGTCATTTACCGAGATTACATGATAGTTGAAGGTAGTCAACAGGAAACCCTGGACTTGGGTTTCGTGCTACTTTGCACTCGTCAGGAAGGTGTGCCTGTAATCTTGAGGGAACTGGTGCTCCTTTGTGGATTCGAATTTAGAGAAGAAACTTTTCTTTTTGAACGAAATCATTTATTTAAGGTATACATCCGTACTTATAATTATATAGAAAATATAAGTCTATAGAAGAACAGAAAAGATTGCATCATAAATTGATTAGAGATCCGTATTATCAAGTGAATTACGCAATAATCAGGTGGTAAGAGAAGAGTATCTCAGGACAGAGTTAGATGGAGAATCCTGGTGAGAGACTTAGGCTCCTCCATGAGGGTTAACAGACGTAAGTAAGTGAGAAAGAGAAGAATATAAGGATGAAAATAACGGACGGTGGCTCAATTTCGTGGATTGGTTGAAGTTAGACATTAACACTGTTGGATGCCAGTAGGCTCAGTGGTCTAGCGGTTAAGTGCTCACGCGCGAGACCAGTAGGTCCTGGGTTCAAATCTCGTGACTCAATGTCTTGGATCCGCACTGCTGAGGAGTCTCATACTAGGATAGAACGGTCATCTAGTGTTTCCAGGTTTTCCGTATTGATCTAGCTCTCATTGACTCATGATTTCAACCAATGAACTTACCATAATATTCACAAAACGCTCTTCTGAATCTAATTTACGGTTTAGAATTATGAAAGATAATTTTCCAATTGACACATATGAAGTAAGACGGCAAACATAAAAGTCATAAAAATAAAAACTGAATAATAATTGAGAAAATTTGATTGAAGGCAATAGTAACTGACTAGAGTTTAAAATTACAAATCACGTATTTAAAAATCAATTATAATAAAAATAGAAAATGGGGAATCAGGGCCAACGAAGGATGAGAGGTTGTACTTAAAGTTCGAGCTTGAGTTAATGGAATACTAACGTTCTAGCAGTGTACTGCCTAGGTAAATGATTTCATTGAAAAGAAAATTTTTCTTACTGGATTCTCTTTATTTTTATTCATAAATGATAATCCATTTTAAGGTTAGTTATTCAACCCTATGGTTATTAGTTGTGTAAAGTTGATAAGTATCTTTCAAACCAGCTTTATCTTAAAAGCTTCCAAAATACCTGATAAAAATGTAAATTAAGTCCCAGTTTGGAATTTTCATGACGAGAATGAATATTGGAGTAAATATGCGCTTTGCTTTGTCTATTCGATAATGGTTATATCTAATTTAAAAATTACCATCTAAACTAACCCGATATAAAAGTGAATGTTGGGATTACCATTAAAACTAATTTCGAACTACTGAAATGTTATTCATTAGGGTATATAACGACTAACTCTTCATTTTGCTGTTACAATCAACACGATAATGGCGTTGTTGCTTATTCTAGTATCATGAAATGATCAATAAAATTACTAACAGAAATAGAGTAATTCATTTCCGCGGACAAACAGCATAAAATGGTACATTCTAAAAATGGGTTTAATTACTTTATATTGTGATATTATCATGATAGTTTAGTGACTTTTATGTGTGATCTTCATTTCCAGTATATAGAATCATTAGCCATCTGTTTTATTCTTGTTTGAAACTTCATTCCAATGTGAACTTACAATAACTTACAAGATACAGTTGAAGAATGCATGTAATTATTTGACAACAAATGATGTAAAACTGTATTAAATTTTAACAATGAACATTTTTACCATTACAAGTAGATAAAAACATTTACTGAACAAAAATAGCGCCTATTTGACCTCAGTAACCCAGAGAATAATATATTAATGTTTAAATCGAAAAATACTAGGTTCAAGTCTCGGTATGAAAATCAACTCTGAGATGTAATCATATTCAGCTAATCAGTTAAGAATAAAACATGTATGCTGAATTCAACTACTAACCACAACCCATTTATTTGCAAAACCTGAAACAATATTATAGTATCTAAGCAATCCGGTTACGATACACATGTGTCTAATGAGACCGATCAATTACAGTGTTTAATGTTAATAATGAAATAATATAAATCCCTACAAATAAAATAAAAAAATTTATTTGTGAGACAAATTCTAGTAGGAAAACTTGAATTGTAAAAAGTATTGGATAAATTGTCTTGACAACAACAAAGAAAAACAGCAAAGAAACTCAATACTTCAAAGAAAAAAAAAGACTTTGGCATTTTGTTACGAAGTCGTTGATATAAGAACTTAAAAAAAAGGTAATCATTTATCGATTTTCAATTTAGAAAATCAAAATTTTTAATAAATTAATTTGACTTACATTAATTGATATATAACTGAACATTTTGAATTACTTTCAACTAAATAGTTGTCTTTTGAAGTAAACTAGAAATTTACAAAATTAATCAAGACATATATATATATATATATACATGAAGTTATATTCAATGCTTTTTAATGTACTTTATACAGTTCATTTCATGTAGTAATTTAATTGGGAGACAATTTACATGGAGTTTTGTTGTCTAACCTCAGAGAACAAAGTTCCATCAAAATCATCCACTTGATCTATAAATCTTCTCCACCATCTCAAGACAATTTACATTGAGAGAAGAAGGAGAAGAACAAGGAGAAGAAGAAGGGGACGAAGAAAAACAGACGAATATTTAAAGAAATTCATATGGTGAAATAGTCTTTCAGATATCGATATGTAACAATATAATTATAGGATAAAACCATTTTGGATTTTATCCATAATTTCAGATATGAATAGAAAATAAAACAAAACATAACCGAACAAAAGGCACGTATAAATAAAAGTAGAGAAAACTAAAACAAACAAACAAACGCGAAAAATGAATAGGTTAACGAATAGAAAAAAGTGTAACTTTTAAGTTGTTGTATCACAATTAAACAGATTGCCTTTATTTATGAACAAAAACAGATATATAGATACAATGAAAGACTTCATTATCTTATTAGATAATACGAAAAAGGGGAATAAGTAAATAAGTAGTATAAGTCATAAATAAATAAAAAATTCTATAATTTTGATGCTAAACATCGACTATTTAATATAGCTAATATAACAACTTGTGAAGCTGTTACACTACCAATTAATGATAAAGTATATGACCAATATGGTAATTTCCAATATGTATATAATAAATTACCTGTTAATACAGCACTAGCTGAAACAAATAAAATCATTAATTTAATTGTTGTACATACTGGCCCAGGTATCCATTTACTATTACAAGCACCAAATAAATCACAAAGGAATATTAATCCTAAACCACCTACACCTGCAGATAATAATATAAGAACAATAATAATTGGTATAGTTTTAAAACATTGAGTATATAAATTTCCACATGGCCAATCAGCAGTAGCTAATGCATAACCTAATAAACCAATTGATAAAGCAAGTAATGGAAAATGTAAATGATTTGGATTAAATAATCTTCCAGGCATTATTATAAATTGATAATTTATATGTATATAGTCACTATGGTATTACTGTTGACCGATAGGATAATAATAATAATAATAATCCGACAGAATATTATAGTTATTTTGTGTGTTGGCAAATAGTAAAATGTTTAGTAAATCTGGTTTATCATTCATCGCAATAATATTTCATCTTAGAAGTATATATATATATATATATATATATATATATATATATATATATATAAATCATAACTATAGATTATTTATTAAGCTTTGATTGGTGAGATACCTTTCTTCTTCTTAATAATAATGATAACCTATTTAAACATCTTGTATACAATGTGAGTATATGTATGTTGCTGTGTATCAATAAGTTACTCAATAAGTAACATACGTGTTTTTCAACATATATATCGATGTTTAAATGTTTACTTGTCTATGGGTATATATCTCTATATGTATGAATGTACAGTTTAATGATATCCATTTAAATGAACATGATTTAACATACAAGATAGTATATAAAAGAATAAATACAATGATCTGATCATTATGATCTATTAAAAAAAAATGCTGGTTTTTTTTATAAAATTCCTTTATTATACATATACTGTTTTTAAGTCAAAGTAATGATATAGAAAGGTCAGACTATATTTGAAAGTTATAGTTTTGTATTTAGTTTAATTACAATTGTATAATATGGTGGTGATCGATACCGTGTTTGCGAGAGACTGAGTGATGAGTGAGTGAGTGAGAGAGAGGAAGAGTAAACTAAACACTAAGACATAAATTAGTTATTTCAGTGAAATCATATGATATATCTTCTGTGATTTGAATCATTAATCTTTAGAGAAATGACAATTTATCATAGTTGTTCTATTATGTGTTTTAAGATTTGTATTAAATAGAAAGCATCAGTGTTATTAATTAGCAGCCTATGTTGGACACCTATTGGAATCAAACAGAAGAAAGTCCAATGTCTAACAGTTAGTCAAGTCATTGATGTTCACTGTAGATTCTAGTTTCAATGGATATCTATTCATGATATCAATAACATTCACTAATCGCCACTAAACTTCTATACTGATAAATATATAGTTATCGAAAATAATAGAATGAATTACTGAAATTTTAATGACAATGATTGTCATTTCAATCTAAATGAATTTAAATTTTCTTGAGTTATGTTACAATCACATTAGTGCTTACAAATTATGTTTCTATTATTGCTTATTTACTTACGCCTGTTACTCCTCGTGGAGGATCATAGGCTACCCACCAGCATTCTCCATCCAACTCTGTCCTAAACAATCCTTCCTAGTTGTTTCCAGTTGCTATTCATCCTTTTCATGTATGCTTACAAATCTTCATGCAATGTGTTCTTCATCTTTTCTCTTCAAGATTCCAAGTTGGAACATTCCTTGAGATGCAGTTTGTTGATTTCCGTAATGTATGTCCTATCTACTTTTAGCGTCTTTTCCTAGTTTCTTCATTGGATGGACGCTGATTTATTCTCTCTTACAGGTGTTGATGGTATCCGATCAACGGACATTGAGTATCTTGTGTACTAATTCCTTATTTATAGTGAGGGAAATTTTCGAGAAAAAGTATTAAATAATTCAGTAAAGTTTTTCGTAAAAGGCATTCGAAATTTTGGAGATTAGCTGCCATTTATCTTTGATAGATATGGATGAATAAGTGAAAGGCATGAAACTCTGATAACTACTGATCGACCGTGAATTATTACACAGATGTTTGTGTATCGACTAAATATTTGGTTTTAAGAATAATTATATTACATTACTTCATTCAAATCATCTTTTATAAATCATAATTAATCAATTATATACCAGTTACTGGGGTTTGTGACACAAATAACTTAGTCATGTATCGATTGCAATGACTCTTTTATAGTATGTTGCGGTCTTCTAATTAAAGCATAATACCATGTAAGTTCTGAGTTGTAAATACACAGAGTAAATGTCTGGCCATTCTCGTGCTCCGACTGGACAAACTATGGGAAGGGGCAGAAGACGATTTCGTACGCGATTCAGTGTCAGAATACTTAATGAACATATCGGTTGAACGTTATTAGCATTACTAACGTTCTCCGCTCTCCAGCATTCGCCATCCAACCCTGTCCTGGGCAATCCTTTCCAACTCCTTCCAGTTTTTATTCATCCTTTTCATATCTGATTCTATTTACCGACGCAGCGTGTTCTTTGGCTTTCCTCTTTTAAACTTCCGTTCAGGATTCCAAGTTGGGGCTTGCCTCGTGATGCAGTTTGGTGGTTTCCGTAATGTGTGTCCTAACCATTTCCAACGTATTTTCCTAATTTCTTCTTCAGCTGGAAGCTGGTTTGTTCTCTCCTAGAGAAGTCTGTTGCTGATGGTATCTGGCCAATGGATGTTGAGTATACTGCGTAGACAACTCGCTAAAAAAACTCTAACCAGAAAAAAATAGCGTTTATTATGTCAACATTATAATTCAACCAATCCACAAAGAGAAATGTTATGCTACTGTGCAATAGAAGCATGTCACGTTGATATTCCAGAAAACTTAATCATGTTGTGATTGGATGGAAACACTTCGTCTCCTTCAGGGTTTCTGGAGGCTCCGTCGTAGTTCTCGGAAGCCGTTCTAACACTAGCATTTATTGCTAAAATAATTATTTTAAATTTAATAATAATAACCCTTTTTTAAAAAAAACATCACTGTTGACACTGATCAGAGCAGTGTTGTTTGAATATACTAGTTTGTTCTTTTTTAGATTTTTTTAAAAGAAAGTAATATTCAAAATTGAGGTCAAATTAATGTTGTATATTTTTTCAGTAAAAAGGTGGTTTTCTGATACAATATACTACAATCGCCTGCTATGTAACCTAGAACGGCAAGATTAACCATACAAGTTACTTCATGTTCACTGAATATAAGTATAAGAGTGATTGTTCACCATATTTTTCTCTTTGTACAATCACAGATGATACTTTTTATTATTAGCTATTTAATACCAGTGATGATAATGTCGTTACTGATTACAGTGATCTAGAAAATGTTGACTAAAAAAAGAATAATAGACAGACAGAAATCAATTTAGTTTTGATGTAGATGTGCATTAGCCCACGTTTTCACATCTGATTAGAACGATAAGATGAAATAGTGTAGTATCAATGATTAAAGAAATGACTAAACATTCGGAATATGGCTCGAAAAGACAGAGTGGAAAGGTATGTATAAATAAATACTAGAATTCAAGATCGTGAGAAAATAAAGGATTACTTACTTACTTACGCCTGTTACTCCCAACAAAGCATAGGCCACAGACCACCATTCTCCAACCCACTCTGTCCTACGCCTTCCTTTCCACTTCTGTCCAATTTTTGTTCATTCTACTCATCTATGTCTCCGTTTCTCGACGTAATGTGTTCGTTGGTATTCCTCTCCTCCTTTCACACTGAGGATTCCATGTGAGGGCTTGTCTTGTGACGAAGTTTGGTGCGTTCTTCAATGTGTGTCCTATCTACTTCCAGCAATTCTTCCTGATTTCTTCCTCTACTGGAATCTAGTTTGTTCTCTCCCACAGTACGTTGTTGCTAATAGTGTCCGAACAACGTATCCGAAGTATTTTGTGTAGACAATTGTTAATAAACACTTGTATCTTCTGGATGATGACTTTCGTAGTTCTCCAGATTTCCACCACATACAGTAGAACTGTGTTGACATTTGTATTGAAAATTCTGATTTGGGTATTGGTTGGTTGAGAGACGGTTGTTTTGAGTTACAGATGTTCTTCAGTTGTAGATATGCTGCTCTTACTTTGCCGATCCACGCTTTCACATCTGAATCATATCCACCGTGTTCATCAATGATACTGACCAGATCTGTAAAGGTTTTTGCATCTCCCAAATCTTCTCCGTCAAGTGTGATTCAATTGTTGAATTTTGCTTTTCTCTTTGTGTATATTGTGTCAAGTAGCCTTTCTGAAAAAAATTAACAAATGACTCAGGATCTACTATCTTAGATCGTAATAAAGAAATATTCTATTTATCTTGATTTTCAAAGAAGCACCAATAAATAATGCAATATATGTAGATTAATGATGCATCAATCGTTGTACTATTGGGAATAAAGTGGCCTTAATTTAAATAAAATATGTAATTTCAGAATATTATTAAACTGTTTTTCATTAGCAGTATTTACTTTCCTAGGTTTGAAAAGTACAGTACTCTGTAAATCATCAGATTCTATGATCGTGGTAAATAAAGTGTGTGATGAAATAGAAATGCCTTGAACTGGCTCACCAATCAAGTTTGAATTTTTCAGCAGTATTCAACCATGGTTCATATCGTCTTTGAACTTAGACCTCACAAGGAGAATATCATGATACTGTGTATTCGAAATCTGAAAGTCACATTTCAACTTCATTTAGTTCTAAAATATAGCATGTAACTAACAATTAGCATTCAAGTTTTCTAGAGAATTTTTTTTCGTTTTAAACGATCAAAAACAAACTCTTAAAGTGTGTAGTGTCAGTTACTATGTTAAGGCCATATAACTTATTCTAGCTTCTGGACAGGCCAATTTATCTATTCTTCTTGAGTCATATTTTGACCTTGTTGATTGTTCACTGATCATTCTTGACTATATGTGTGCTCTTCTTATCCCATTCATCAAATATCTGCAGCTTATTTTTGTGTGACTATAAATATTAATTAACGCCTGGCTAAATGGAGTTGACTCACAGGCTTTCTCCACCGCGCGTCCTTTTGTTTCGCTTTGCTCTCTCTTCTTCATTTTATTCGCTGAGATTCTCTGGTTATCTGTTCAGATCAACTGGCGTACAATATATATTCAAACATCCATTCTCGTATTTGACTTATTTAATTCCGTTATACACTAACGCGGATTAAGTCGATAATTATATTATTCATTCATTACGACTAATTACAAACTACGCATAATAGTGATGAAGTGCACCATCACGTGTTTCTTCTTTAATGACTCATTTGTTTTGTTTTTTCTTTCGGAAAATCCAATAAACTATTGGATCTAGTCAGTATTCCACAACATTAAACATTGATTAACTGATAAAGGCTGATAAAAGACTTATAATGAGAATTTATGACCCTTTTAAGGATCCAACCAATATGATCTGATGAAATTGTTTTAATATATAAAATAGATTTGATCATATTCAGTTTAATATAACATATTAGCTGTGAATAAGTTCTTTGTGAATGATGGTATGAAAGAATAAATCGATTCACGAAAAATATTTTCACTAATAGATTATTTAATTTTTATCAATCAGAACTTGGAATCCTGAAGGGAAGCGGAAAAGAGGAAGGCCAAAGAACACATTACGTCGGGAAACATAAGTAGATATGAAAAGGATGAATGACAACTGGAAAGAGCTGGAAAGGCTTGCCCGAGACGGGGTTGGATGGAGTGTTCTGGTGAGCGGCCTGTGCTCCTCGACGAGGAGTAACAGGCGTAAGTAAGTAATCATTTGCACTTAACTAATGTCATTCAGTTTGTAATAACAATTCTTATTAGAAAATATAATTAACTGATACAAAAAGTAATAATCCAATTAAACTAATCATTATGGACACTGTTTGATGATTAATGTGATTGATGAATTCACCTAGTTCTACTAGGAAGTTGTATTCTGAAATGTAAATCAAATTGTAAGTAATACAGTAGTCCTCAGATTAGATAATGTTTTTTGTAACAGCCGAATAATTATTTCTTTTGAGGTTTGAATGGCTTTGAGTCTAACAGATTTTAAAAGGCAATTGCATGCGAGATCATGGATATACACTGATGAGGAGTCCAATTTTAGGATGAAACAATCGTTCAGTGCCCCCAGATTTTTTATGGTGTTCTAACAATGATCGATTCATGATCTCAATCAAAATGGCTTCCATAATGAATAGAAGTATGATCTGTTTAGACTAAGTGGGAGTGTTTTGAAATGTTTACTTTGTTGGTTTAACCTGTTGTCATTCATTAGTCATTGGTTTTTGAATGATTGTCTAACTAAAGCCAGTTCATTATGTAAAGTCATGGCATGTATATTTAAAAATGTTCTCTGTTAAAAACAATCAGTTTTCTTTCACATTATGAATTCATTTTTAAATACGATTAACCTTAAATGTTATTCATTTGATTCTGCTAATTAATAAACACTTGGCATAACGATGACATCATATCAAATACAGCTTTATACAAACGTATAAAATATGAACGTTATTACTGATAAATGCCGAAAATATCATGACATGTTGCGTAATAGATATACGCATTTTTTTCAACATATTTTATTTATTTCATAAATTGAAATCATGAGTCAATTGAAGCTAGGTCACAATGGAAGACCTGGGGGTACTGAATGGCCGTTTCGTTCTAGTATGGGACTTCTCAGAAGTGCGCACTCGCGGTCCCGCCCCCCAGCAAGATTCGAACACAGGGCCTACCAATCTCGCGCGCGAGTGCTTGACCATTAGACCAATGTTCCGGCATTCAACGGTGTTAATGTCTAACTTCAAACAATCCACGAAATCGCGCCATCGTCTACCATTGTCTTCAATGAGCTGATATCTCACAACAGACCTGGTTGAACTCCATTGGTCACGGCCTAACACTAGAACTCCAGGAGATGACTCTTGACGTTAGTCCCTAGTGAGCAGATGATTATTATCAGAAGGAGCTTTGTGTAGATTTTATAAATTTCACTAGTTGAAATCATGAGTCATTTGGAGCTAGACCCGTGGAGTTCAACCAGGTCTGTTGTGAGATATCAGCTCATTGAAGACAATGGTGGACGATGGCGCGATGTCTTGGATTGTTTGAAGTTAGACATTAACACCGTTGGATGCCGGAACAGTGGTCTAATGGTCAGGCGCTCGCGCGCGAGACTGGTAGGCCCTGTGTTCGAATTTCGCGGTTGATATCGTAAATGCGCACTGCTGAGGAGTTCCATACTAGAACAAAGCGGCCGTCCAGTGCTTCCAGGTTTTCCATGGTGGTCTAACTTCAATTGACTCATGATTTCAACTATTGAAATAACTAAAATCTCCACAAATCCCCTTCTGATATTTTATTTATGTCGAAGAAATATTTCACTATGAAACGTTTTCGGAAAACTATTGTTACCAGCAAATCGTTATAATTAGATATGATTTTAAGAAGAAAGAATGTATTTATGAAATCTCAGCAAATGAATTTGAAGTAAATCCAATGTTTTGCTCGGCAATCTGGTTCAAGCTTTTTTCCAAGGGAATATAACTGAACATCAAAATTATTGCATATAAATAGGTGTATTCAATCATTTTAATAATGTTTAAAGCAGGTATTTTAGACATGTGGTATGTAACGAGAAATGTGTTAAGATAACAGATGATGTGTATTCGTAAGTGTATCTGAGGTGTGAGAAGAAATTTCATTCACTACTAATCGTCTCTGATCGGTCGATTTTTAAAGAAAAAATGTAATTTTTATATATGATATGAACAAAACATATCGCAGCATGCATAAAATAGAGATAAGTAAACAAAATAAAAATAAACGGATGGATGTTTGTTATTTTTGCTGTTCCAGTTAATTGGTTATGCGGGAAAACACGGAATACAATGTACAGCTCAGAGCCAATTAGACGATTTGGACTTCAAAGATGACCTACCTCTCCTATACCATACACACGAACAAATGTAGATGAAGACAACTAGTGTAGCAGCAGCAGCCTCTGCATCAGTAGACCTCAAGATATACAGAGGAAAAGGCAAGATTCTCAAATACAACACGGAGAACACCAACCCAATCACCCTTGAGTGCGAAACTCTGGAAGATGCATAATCCTCCACGTATCTGGTCAGCTGCATTATCGATTAACAAGGAGGATCCTGGGTTCGAGCCCTACTCGCGAGATCGTGGATTTGCTCTGCCGTGATTACTATACTGCCCAGTTTTCGTGCTGAATTTCAAACGGACGTAATATCAGATAAAAATCGCATTGTATTACAATATTAATACACGTTTTAAATCTGGTTTCAATAAATAACAAATTCTTTATACTAATCTTATAGAATATAATTCCCATTCACTATGAAATTTATTTGATTAAGTTGAACTAATGTCAGCCTATCGTTTTACTACGGTAATGATGAAACTGTCTTAAGTATTAGATGAGATTTCTCTCATTGTAAGAGATTTATTCTGAGCATGACCTACTTTAAAATCTCATGTGACAAAAATGTCGAGTTAGTGTATACATGAAAAATAAATCTGATGCCCTAAGATGTTACAAAATGATTGGGAAGTTAGTGAGAAGACATAGTTTATGACATCAATCAAGTCTATGATGAAAAGCAACCAATTAATAACATTTTATTGACTCTTCGCCTTGGAGCCAATAGATGTTATTTTAACTCTTACCTAGTGGATACTAAACTCCGCCTGTAGCTCTTATAGAGTTAC